ATTCTAGTCTCAGAAACTCACAGGGGCAGTGCTGTCCTGTCCTTAAGGTTCGCTATGAGCAAGACCTGACTCAATGGCATGAGTCTGGCTTTTGGAAAGCTAATAAACTTAGGTGGTGGCATGTACGAAGTAACAGACTGAGAAGTCTCTGTCCACTTCAAAAAATGGTTAAATTAAGTCTGTGGTCAGACAGGTTTTTTTCTCTACCTGTCTGAATACAAGAAGCTGAAATTACTGTTCACAAATGCTCATCGATTTTAGAAATAAAATATCGTTAGAGATCACTTAGTCCAACCTGGTTATGATGTATATGAAAAGAATTAAAACCAAGAGAGGTGCATGTGATTTGCCCAAGGTAACACAAGGAGTTTCTGAGTGAACCAGGGCTACTGGTCAGGTTTTGCCTCCCATACCTGGACCTTTAACTTTCTACCCATCTTGGAATCTTGACAAATCCTGAGATTCCATGACTCTGTGACTCTATGGTTCTATCATTCCAAGACAAAGCACAGTCCTATCCATGCTCCAGACAGCCCTGGCACAGAAGAAGAACATGACCTAGGCTGAAAGACCAACCAAATAATTTTCTTTCATTTTAAAACACCAACTACACCATCATGAATCCAAGCACTGCACACGGCCCTGTACTGTTGGTGTTCCCACCAGAGCTCCCGATTGCCAAATTGCAGCAAGGTGGTCTAACAGCCACACCTTACGTGCCTGGAAATCCCTTATCAAAACTGATTGCTTCGAAACTGAAAATCCTTGGGGTAAGTAAGAGTCAACTCAGTATATATCCTACTGAGGGGGCAGGAGATAGGGAGAAACATCTACTAGGAATTGATTCCAATGTTTCCACTCAGGAAATGGGGATCACTTCTCGACACCACCTATGTACAAGGTTCTGGGTAGAGGAGAAAGCAAGATGAATAAGCCAAGGTCCTTGGGATCTTCAAAGTCACCAAGCAAAAAAACCTGACCTTTTCTGAGATTTTTCTACTAAAGTTTGGAGAAAAAGACAGAGTAGTAGTAAAGATAAAAATGATCATGTAGAATTTGATAGACAAGCTTCCTATTTACGTTATTCGGTTCCACAGAAAATTGACTGTAGTTTATTTAGTAACAGGACATGGTGTTTGATATCTGGGCTTTTGGTAGAAAATCATATTTATTCTGTAAGTGCTTATTTCACCATTCATTTATGTACTCCATAAATACTAATGGACTGTTTTTAAACGCCAATCTTTCTTTTTGACAATGGGGAGAGTCTATATTGAGTTGAAACTGTAAAATTCTATGCCTGAGACTGCAGTTTAATTAAATTTCCCCTTTAAAATCCTCCCTTTTGAAGCTGGAAAATAGAAAATGACTGTTTATGTGTGTGCGTGCATACGCATGTGTATTTATCTCTAGAACAATGGTTCTCAACCTGTGGGCTGTGACCCCTTTGAGGGTTGAACAACCCTTTCACAGGGGTCACCCGATTCATAATAGGAGCAAAATTACAGTTATAAAGTAGCAAAAAAAATGGTTGGGTGTTACCACAACATGAGAAATTGTATTAAAGGGTTCACGGCATTAGGAAGGTTGAGAACCATTGCTCTAGAAGAAGTATAAAGGTAGAAAAAGATTGCCTGCCATCAGCATTAGTTAAAATATAATGGAATGCAAACTTTTTCTAAAAGGTTATATTTTAACCTTTTAGTTCAAATATTTATTGAACTCTGCAAGAAATTATGCTACATGAGGGCTCTAGAAATAAATGCAACCTATTCTCTCTCATTGAAGAGAATAAACCTACAATTCATAAGTAATAAGATGAAAATGTTGAGAGTTGTGTTTAAAGATGTATCATTGAAGAAAGTTGATAAGTGTTGGAGGCAGGGCAAAAGGGGTAGGGGACATCCCACAGAGTGGACACAGTTACTTTCAGCAAAAAGGAATGAGAAAGTTTCATGTCAAAGTGTCACTGAAGCTGTACGCTAAAAACACAAACCATACTCACTGTCATGGAGTAATGCCATCTCATAATGACCCTATAGGACAGGAGGGAATTGGCCCTGTGA